TAATTAGTATCAAGTTTTGTATCAATATTTAGTATTTATCCATGTATACTTCATGGTAGAGATGTGTAGTTCTTGTTACTTGTGCATTGATTACATGTTGAAGGATCATTTATGAAGGATTTTACAATATTAGTTACTGGATTTGTTTCTAAATTTTGATGATGTCAATATTGATTTCACAAGTCGTTCAAAATTATTAATGGACGTTGTAAGGGATTTTAGTTGTAATATTGGACTGACGAATAATACATCATACTTGACCACAAAGCAATCAGTCCAAAATGAGTTGGAGTAACTAATTTGTAATTAATTACTCTCGTTTTTGGAAACTAAAAAAATTAAGAAAATAGCGAACCAGCTGGAATAGAATATATAGAAGCCTAGGAGATGATCGTTCAGTTCCCAAACGTTCTCATGATTAATCAAACAAAACATAGAAAGAACAATGGAAAAAACAGCAAAGGGGAAATCAAAGATTCCGATCAAAATGATCGAGTCACGGAGCGCCCGGAATGTATGCTTCTCCAAGGATCTTACAATACTAGTTAGTGAATTTGTTTCTAAATTTTAATGATTTCGATCAATATTATTGATTTCACAAGTCCAAACTTGGAGAGGACGTACGGAAGATAATGAAGTTATTAATTCAATCGAACAATTTATCACGTCTATATAGTCGTCTGGCATGCGGCACTAATACACGACTAATTAAGTATCAATTAAATTAACAGTATATATGTAAGCTAATCCAGCCTATGACCATATCAAGACCAATAGAGGTAGGTGGAGAGTGTTAGTGATAGATGTTATTTCGTTTACTTACAAAAAAAAACTAAGAATCACAGACTAATTAATAAACTTTACATTTTCTTCTACCTACTTTTACTATACTCACATCCTATATGCCTAGATCATCACAAGATTACATGCATTTTGGTACAGATTTTTCTATATACCATTTTCGATATTTTTACCACTTTTCTATATATCTGGAAGTGTTTACATTATGTATAATTAACTAATGTGTACTGTATTGATCTGATAAAGAGTAAGTCATTATATTTCATTTATTATTCAAATTCTGTTTTTCCACTTTCAAAGAAAATATATCACGATATTTTACTGATATTCTTGATCAATTCCGAACCCGTTTTATGCTATGTTTAAAAAAACTTTGTCCCACTCATAAATACATTTTTGGTCCGGTTTTTACAACAAAACTTTTATGGCTTTTGCGTTCAGAAAATCCCACTCATAAATACATATTTATTGTTTTGGGAGACAATCTTCAACTTTGTCCAAACATTTTTTTTCAACTTTGTCCAAACATATATATGGGCCAATAACGAGTCCTTGAATATAAAAATTTAATAACTATTCTCATTATTAATCAAACATTGTTCTCGATCAATATTGTGTTTTTGTATATGTTCAAATGAATTTATTAAGCTTAAGAATATTTTGCATCCTAGTTTATGGCTTCACACAAATTTATAGCTAATTAAAGTTCACCAAGTTTATGTAACTTCAATTCTAACACCATTTTAATACGCAGTGAATTATAACAATTTTTCTTATTTAATTTCTTCAATTCTATTTCAAGTTTAGATAAAAGTATCTGATATATATTATCCAGATTAACTTCATACTTACGACTCACATGAATATCTGAAATTTTAAAAAGAAGTAATTATATGAGCCCGTGTGGCGATACTGTTTTTCGGATGATCATGTTTATCAGCAAGTTTTCTTACCAGACACGTAATTTTTTATTTCGAGCGCCGGATTGTGTAATTATTGGGAAAAGTAAGGTTTGAGTCACTTTTTTGGCTGTATTGGATGAAGTTATCATTTGAACTATTTTTTTTTATTTATTTTATTAATAAAAATTATTGTAAATATAAATTTTTCATAAATCAGCAGAATCAGCCAATCCAACCACTTTATCCAGAATTTCATAAATTTCAGCAAAATCAACCTGTTGGGTTAATGGCCCAAGCCGAGGTCCGGCCCATTAACCCCTTTCTACCAGACGCACGTCCAGTTAGGACACAAGGCTAGCCGCAGGCCCATGCTCCTTGGGGAGCAACGAGCGTCTGGGATTGGGGGTTTAGGCTCGACGGCCCATCTCGACGAGCGTCTATATGCAGGGACAAGAAGCAGGACCACGGGCTATCAGGGATGACGACGAACGTCTCCAGAGCAAGCCTATGGTCATCGGAGGAAATCCGGCCCACATGGTGAGGATCCATCAAGGCCAGGAGACGAGCGGCCGGTACCTCTTGAGAGTCACTTGGAGCGATCCAGCTCGCTCCCCGGGCGGACGAACGTCCCCACTATTTAGGCGGGAAACCTAGATTCTGACGGGAAGTGCATTTAATGCTGAAGATTTGGTGGTTGGGACACCAGCGGTCCACAGGCTTCCACGTCAGCATAGCCACCTGCCCATTGGTGGGTATAAATAGAAGCATTTATTTCATTGTAAAGGGTTGACAACTTTCTATTCTTAGCACTCTAGCTATAGCATTCTTACTCGCAGCACTTCTACTGCCTTGTAAGACGAACGGCCGACGGAGCCTTAGCGGAAAGTGTTGTATTAGGGAGTTATTAAGAGATAATAATACCTAATCACTTACTTGCTATCTTACTGTTTCTTGATCCTTATTATCTGCTTGTTGGGCTAGTTTATTCACATACACTCCACTCGAAATCCTTGGGCTTACGTGTTGGACCCGGGGGTTGAAGGAATAAACCTCAACACAACCGATTCGGCTAATTTTAATGTTACCAAACGGGCTCTATAAAGTTAAAATTATCTTCTGAAGTAACTTCTGTAAATTCAGCTGGAAAAGTAACTCCAATGTTTTTTATTTTGATTATTACATAATTAAGCGCGCAAAATAAAAAAGTTAAGTGTTTAGTGAAAAAGGTGGCTGATAAAATTAGTAAGTCCAAAAGTAACATCACCAAAGGGCTCTAAATTTGTGATTACTTGTTTATAACTTGACTAGCATAGTACCCGTGTGATGCATGGTGACGAAAATGTTTTTAATTTATTGCATACTACGTACTACGTATATTATAAGACACATATTGAAAATCAATATATATGTGCAGTGGCGGAGCCAGAAGTTCGTGTCAGTGGTGTCAATTTAGCAAAACAATATTATATAATAATGTGTACATATATAAAGCAAAAAAGCAAAAAAAATATATATATATATATATATAAAGCAAAAAAGCAAATATTGTCATTATCTTCAAACTTTTCTTTTTCGTTTGTCCCAAAATTATCTCCTTTTTCTACTTTTGGCAAAGAATTTGTGGTTCACGACCATTCTTACACATTTCTCTCTCTTCTGCACAACTATCCACCACACAAAACTCACTATCTTAATTAGTGTGCCCAGCCAAAATGGGAGAAAAAACAGGGACGTAGGGAGTAGTAAAATTAAAGTACTAATTCACAACTGTCCCCGATGCGGGCGTTTTCATATTTTGAAAACGTTGTACAATTTTTTCTTTGTCAACACTTTTAAATATATCTTTTTCAATAAAAGTAATTAAGGCATCATTCATCATAGCATCCCCATTCGATTGCGCAACCTGTTCTTCACGAACTTCATGGCTGAGAAGGCTCTTTCCACAGTTGCGGTGGCCACCGGTAAAAGCAAAGCTAATTTCACAAGTGAAAAAACTAATGGATACACAATATGTTTCTTTGTCTCCACCAAATTTTGAGCAAGAAGACAGGTGGAGCGACCTGTGAACGCCGACCGAGGGTTTCCGATTTCAGCGATTTGGGAATTAGGACTACGACTTACGGCGTTCAATCATTTTTTTTCTTTTTAATTTGCAGCGGGAGTTGGCGTTCAATCAGCCATTTGGGCATAGACTTTTCAATTCTCCTGGAATCCTTTGTTGACTTTTCAATCTGGTGTTCCAACTTTTAAAATTTTTAAATTGATCCCCATTTTTTTAAATGTTGGATGGTGTCAATTTATAATTTATGAAAGATTATCTATACCTATATAGAGAATTTTTATTTTTTAGTGGTGTCAATTATAAATTTTTAAATTTTTTTATATACCTACATATGGAAAAAAAAAATCCAGTGGTGTCAATTGACACCACTGGCCAAAGGGTGGCTCCGCCACTGTATATGTGAATATATCGATTCAAACAACAATGAAACACATATAATAAGATATACGTAGTATAATACTACGCAATATGAAACAAATATAAATTGTTATACTAAATGTATATTTACGAAACAACACATTACAACATTGAAGAAATTAAACATTTTGAAAAACTTATAGATATGTACTTCGTAACATTTATCGTGGAACTACTTGAGGTTTTATTGGTGTTGTTTATCAATATCTTTAACCTTTCACCAAAAAATTAATAACCGTTGATATAAGGGCTGAATATTGGAATGTTCTCAAATTATTAATACGGAGTAAAATACTCTGTCTAATTCTACCATTTTTCTTATTTGATACGTAGTAATAATAATTACAAAATATATTAAATGTTTATATTTCGATAATCAAAATATGATTTAATATCAAATCACATAGTGCATTTACTAATTTGTAATCTGCGCTACAAAAATTTCATAAGAATCAAATCATATGAAATAATCTCTAACTTGACCAAAAAGTAATACCAAAAAGAGTATTTCAAAAGTATTATAGATGAGCCAAATAATAGGAAACAAAAATCATACGTCATACTGAGCAGAAAAGCGGGATGTAAAGTCGGTTAGTAGGATTTACGATGTTCAATTTTCACATGAATTTGCAGTATTTTGGTGGTACTAGGTTTTCTGTAACTTGATCACAAAGTAATAGGAAAATGAGCCAAAAAAGAGAGACGAATGTAAGAAGTCGGTTACTAGGTTAGTTAGTACAAATATACTTAGCAAAGATCCGGCCTTGAGTTCATTAATTACTCCGTATCATTTATAAAAAAAAAACAGAAAAACTGAGAGAAAATTAGAGAATGGGTTTTGGGAAATCAAAGATCGAGATGAAACTCATCGAGTCACTCGCAGCTCGGAATGTGTGCTTCACCAAGCGGAGAAACGGGCTCTTCAAGAAGGCATCCGATCTCTGCCGCTTATTCCCGGGAGTAAAAGTGGCGGCCGTCGTCTTCTCTCCGGCCGGAAACCCGTATGTGTACGGCGACCCAAATGGGATTTTCGAGCAGGCCGGCGGCAGTCCTCTGCCGTTATCCTGTGATCGGGGCGAGAATACTGCTTGGAATAGCGGCGGACCATTGGCTGACGAAGTTATTGAAGAAGTGATCCGAGAGGTGCAGCAGAGGCAGCTGCAGGGCGGGTGTCCTGTTTTTCCTCCGCAATATCCTTCGCCGTCCTCTGTTCTGGCCGGCGGCCATCTTATTTCTGAGCCCTGCGGCTACTCACCGATTGAGAAGGAGACAATCAATACTCCAGAGATGGTTGGTTGGGAAGATGATTGGCTAATTGATGGAGAAGAAATCGAATCAATGATCCGAGAGTTGCAGCCGCAGCAGGGCGGCGGTCCTGCTTTTCCAGAATATTCCTCGCCGCCGTCCTCTGTTCCGGGTGATCGTCTTATTTCCGGCCCCTCAATTCAGCCGGAGATACTCAGAGAAGAAGATGTGAGTTCAATGATCCAAGAGTTGCTCTCGTAGCCACATACGGCCATACCATTTTTCCATGAAATTTGGTTCGAGGCATGGAATCGGCACATAAATTAGGAATACCATTATGAGAATTGTTTTTACTCGTATTATGGGACGAACAAAATTAAAGTTTTATCAATCCCATAATCACAATTACTGTATTGTTACTAACATGATTTGTTCATAAGTTTGTATTTCATTCATTTGTTATACTGTATATGTCTAGATTGACGCACAAACTATTATCTTGAGAGTGATTTTAATTTGGTGTTCATGCAAGTATATAAATTCTAGTCCCAGCTTTCAGAATTTACCCGCTTAATCTATGGTTTTAATTCTTATTTTAACTGAGTGTGAATTTTTATTGAATTATTTGTTCATTATATTTAGTACGGAGTATCAAGTTTTGTTAAAGAAAGAATGACCTCAATAATACTAACAGGAGACCTAAAGACAAAAATAGATAGCTTTCCCCGTTTTTCCATGAATAAGACCATTTCCCGTGTGAGTTTACAGAATTAGCCTTAACATCTATCATTACGGATGTTCTCTTTCATCGTTTGTACCTATGGCCATATATCTCCCCATTTTCGTACATCTTCATACCTGCAACCTTATCTACGATTCTCACGCAATCTTCTCCGTTTCACTTGTAGCTGATGCCCGCCGTCTTCACCGCGCACCGCTCCGTCGACTTCGTCTTGTGCCGCTACCCAGCCACTTCCTCTTTCTTCTCTCTTCTGTCAAGACCCCATGGATGGCGACGATTCCCGCAACTGAGAGTGAAGGGATAGAATCCAAGTGCGGTATTGTACGAATGAGGATGACTCTGGCTAAGCTATTGTTTCCCTGCGGCGGCTCGGTTGGAGACTGCTGATTCTAGATCTGATCCGACGGCTCGGATTTGTTGGTTAGAATCAAGCGGCGGCGGACTAGGGATATGTGATTCGGGGCTGGGATGGGCTTGTTGGACTTGGATCTGGAGAGGGGGATGCGGTTAAGGTGCGGGCTGGGGAACAAGGGGTTGGGGCAGGGGGTTGGGTTTGTGGTGCGGCGGCGCAACAATGGTGTCACAATGGCCATGGCGGCGGCGGCGGCGTGGTGTCTGGGGCACTGTTATTGTAGCTTTTTATGAAAAACTGCCGTTGGGCGGTCAGTTTGTAACGGTAAATGTAATTATTGGGTCCAGAAATTGTAATTAATCGGGTCGAGTAACTGTAACTAGTCAAATCAAGTAATTAGAATTCATCAGGTTGAGTAATTGTAATTTTTTTGTTAGATAACTGTAACTGATCGTATTAACCAGTTATAATTACCTGACCTGATTAGTTACCTGTTGAGTTATAGTTAGTTAATACGATCAGTTACAGTTATCTAACAAAAACTATAACTCAACAGGTAACTGGTCGGGTCAGGTAATTATAACTGGTCGGGCAACTAATCGGGTCAGGTAACTATAACTGAAGCGGTAGTAACTAAAACAATGATCACTGGAGTGGTAATAATTGAGACAGTTGTCACTGGAGCGGTAGTAACTGAAACAGTAGTAACTGAGACAAAGGTAATTGGAGCGATAGTGTAACTGTTATTAATCGGGTTGGTCACTGGGTGAATTGGTCATGGTCAATAGGTGGATTGGTCATGGTCACTAGTCGGATTTTGGTCACTGACGGATTTTTGGATTTTTGGTCATAAATGATTTTTGGTCACTAATGATTTTGGTCACTGACGGATTTTTGGATTTTTTGTCACAAATGATTTTTGGTCACTGGGTGGATTGGTCATGGTCACTAGTCGGATTGGTCACTGGACGGGTTGACGTTGATAACTAGGTAAAATTTTTGGTCACTAATGATTTTGGTCACTGACGGATTTTTGGATTTTTTGTCACAAATAATTTTTGGTCACTAGATGGATTGGTCATGGTCACTAGTCAGATTGGTCACTGGACGGGTTGACGTTGGTAACTAGGTAAAAATTTTGGTCACTAATGATTTTGGTCACTGACGGATTTTTAGAATTTTGGTCACAAATGATTTTTGGTCACTGGGTGGATTGGTCACGGTCACTAGTCGGATTGGTCACTGGACGGGTTGACGTTGGTAACTAGGTAGAATTTTTTGTCACTAATGATTTTGGTCACTGACGGATTTTTGGATTTTTGGTCACAAATGATTTTTGGTCAGTGACGAATTTTGGTCACGATAATGGTTTAGGTCACTGTGGCGTTATTGTAGACTAATGGGTGAGATTCTATTAAAATAAGGGTATAATAGTCTCTTAACCCATTGTTAGTCTCATTTTTGGAAAATTGAAATAAAGGTCTCTTTTTTGTTCATAGCTCTTTTTTTAGTATTATTTTAGACATAACCCCTTTGTTAAATATTTATCGATGTATATACTTCATGGTAGAGATGTGTAGATCTTGTTACTTGTGCATTGAATATTGATTACATGTTAAAGGATCATTTATTAAGGATTACATATTTATGAAGGATCTTACAAAATTAGTTAGTGGATTTGTTTCTAAATTTTAATGATGTCAATATTGATTTCACAAGTTGTCTAAACTTGATGAGGATGGAAGATGAAATTAATAATCCTTTAATTTTCTAATAAATTCAATCGAACAATTTATCTCGTCTGGCATGCTGCACTAGTACACGACTAATTAAGTACGAAGTATCAAATAAAATACTCCCTCCGTCCCAATTTGTTTTGCAAAGTTAACATTTTTTAGTCAATCAATAATAAAAGTCAACCCTCCCTACGCATAATTAATTCAATTTTTAATAATTAAAATTTACATATTCATAAACTACATTAAAATCTCTTCAAAGTTGTAAACTCCAAATTAGAAAATAGTTAAAAATTGACATCCTAATTAAGTAAACAAAACGAGACTGTTTGACTAAGAAAAGTCAAATTTGCAACTCTTTTTGGGACGGAGGTAGTAACAATATGTACGCTAGCTTCAGCCTATGTCCACATCAAGACCAATGGGGGCAGGCGGAGTGTTAGGCTAACCACAACCCAGCCCGTCAATAAATCTAATTTCAGACCAGTTTATACGTATTCACTCAGTCGATTCAGTTTTTTCCTGCAACCCAGTACCGTCAATATATTACTCAGCACCTATTTTTTAAAAATTAAATGCATAAACCTTCACTTATTTAATACACATCAGTTATGTGACACTTTTATTTTTATCAATAATTATGATTTAAAAATTCAAACATTTCAATGTAAAAAAATTAAAATTTTTAAATATTTTTTGTAAGTAAAAGTGGTATATTGAAATAAAGATAAAAGTGGTGTTTATATTTAAATTCTGGTCCAATATTTTGAAAAATATTAATCAAAAAAATGAAATTAATTATTTCATCATTATGGATCTAATTTTCAGCCATTAGATTTAACTACAATAATGTTTTTGAGCCCAATGATTTCTTGCCGTTGGATCTTGCTACAAAAGTTTTTTTTGAAATAAAAGTTATTTTTAATATGCGTAGCTGCACAAAGCAAACAGGATGGAGGAAGATGCACGCACATACCATGTCCACAAAATAGCCCCCTGGAGCCTAGATTGCAAGAATCAGCAGCAAGCAATGGGATCGGGGTGAATTGGCCGGCTATATCTCCCTCCCCAATGTTTCACTAATTCACTATGAGACCTTGCTATACGAAAATTGGCTTGGGTTGCAGCCAATTTTGACGTGAAAACTTCCCATTTGGCTCCCCCCCCCCCCCCCCCCCCCCCCCCCCCCCCCCCCCCCCCCCCCCCCCCCCCCCCCCCCCCCCTACCCACTACTAGAAAATGTTTGAAATAGAGATGAAATTGGTAGGGAAATATAATCGTATGTAATTTAGATAGGAACTTGGCTAGGAATTAAGCATATTCGTTGTTTGGTTGGATTAGAAAGGAACTTTAACAATTTAGAAAGGAAATTTGGTTCCTCTATTTAATAATTTAAAACAATTTAAAACAATACCATAATAATTCCTGTAGCTAGGAATGGAGTTCCTCTCTAAGGTCTATACCACCGTATATAAAATTGAATAGGATTTGAAAGGAATTAAGTTCCTCTCTGTTTCTTAAAATAAAAAACAGGTCGGCTGAGCTATGCATTGAATATTCAAAAATACTCCCTAATAAATAGCTGAGCAGTGCATTGAATCCTGCAGGCAGTGTTTTAATTTTCTCAACCATATATTAATTCATTTTACCAACTTATGCCGCTACGTCGGTCCGTTTTTACTAAATTTTATCCTCCGGTGCACTTCTTTATAATCTCTTTCCTCCATTCATTTTTTTTGTTTCATCTCAACACAATTATATACGCCTCTCCGGAGTATCATTCTTATTCTCTCTGGAGTATTTACAATGCAGAGCAAATTTCTTTATTTAATTTGTAGCTGTATTCAGAGTTACATTTTAGGAGGATAAGGTATGTCTTCAATTTTATTACTTCAAAGTTCGTATTTTATTAAAACAATTTTGTTTAATGGCAGCTTTGTTAAATTGTTGATGCTTTATATAGACAAGTACTTCGTATATATAAATTGTTTCTATCGGCCATTTAAATTGGGAGTATATTTTAATGTTGATACTTTATAAGTTGTCGATACTTTATAAATTGTTTCATCTCGTATATTATTGTATAGTTATTCATACAGTACTATGTACATTAAAATAATAAAAATTTATTTGGTAAATAATACTACCTCTGTCCCTTAAAACTTTGCCAAGTTTGACCGGCACGGGAATTAATAAAGTAAAAACTGTGTGGTTAATTATTTACTTAAAAGGGAAAGTGGCAAAGTTAATGGGACATCCAAAAAAGGAAAGTTGACAAAGTTTTAAGGGACGAAGGGAGTAAGTCTGAGCAGCGGTGCCATCAACAGTATTATTAGTATGAGGATGTTTTACTTAGATTTAATTCAGTCTCAGAGTGAATTAGACTATACTTAAATAGAGCAAATCACACCAGACCATACTTAAAAATAGAAGATCATCTCAAACCATACTTCTGCAATTATAAATACCCAAGGATCAGACATATTGCAGACCAGACCAGTTCAGACTAGACCAAACTAAATCATACTAGACCATACTAGATTAGACTTGATCAAACCAAACCAGAAAGTTTTAGAGCCCGTCTCGTAACACTGAAATCAATTGAATCGGATGATCATGGTAAAATTTATGAAGTTCTGTCTTAAGTGGTTGTATTGGTTGATTCTGTTGATCTATGAAAAAATTAAATTTAAAATATATTTTATTAATGAAATAAAGAAAAAATTATATGTAAAAATAGCTAAAATGATCCTCTACAGGAACTTCTACCAAAACATCCAGTAAAGTAAATTCAACCTTTTTTCCCCTTATTATTACACATTCAGTGCGCGAAATCAAAAGTTACGTGTTTGGCAAAACAATGGTTGATAAGCCTGATAAGCTGAGCAACAGTGTTACCAAACGGGCTCTTAGTCCAATTGAAAACATTCTTAGTATCAAATGAGTAAAGTATGTGTATATGTATTTGGACAAGTTAATATCGTTTCATTTTGTGGAGAAAATTATTATTGTGTAATTAATATTTGGTCTATAACAATAATGTCAAGACCGAACAATAAAGATTTTCCCCCAAATTTCAGGATAACAATGGATTATAGAAATGAACGTCGTTGGATGTATAATCGAGTGAATCCCGGTCGGAAAGGGTTAACAGATGAATTTAAAGCTGGAGTGGATAATTTTGTGGATTTCGCGTGTGTACAACCAACTTTTGCTGAGAACAATGTTATTAAATGTCCTTGTACAAAATGTAGGAATCGCCGTTATAAAAATCCAGGAGATGTAAAACTTCACCTTTACAAATGGGGTTTTGAGTCAAACTATTGGTGTTGGATTTACCATGGTGAAGAGGTTTTACAATCCAGTGGAAATTTTGATGATACATCTCACAACCATGTGGATGGAGATGACATGTATGAAACAATGATTTATGATAATTTTGGATTGAACCAAGAACCTAGTTATCTTAATCGAGACATTGAGGGCCCACATGATAGTGCCAAACAATTTTACGAGTTATTGGATTCTGCTCAACAACCGTTGTGGTCAGGATGTACAGCAGATACTGAATTATCTTTTACCCTTAAGATGATGAGTATTAAGTCATCCTATAACATTGCACAAAAAGCAATGGATGAGATATTCGATGCTTGCAATCGAGCAATGCCATCACCAAATAAGGTGCCATCTAGTTTCTATGAAGCTGAAAAATTGGTCTCTAAACTCGGTCTTGGTCATGAAAAAATTGATTGTTGTGTGAATGGATGCATGTTGTATTATAAGGAGGATATTGCATTGGCACAATGCAAATTTTGTTTTGAGCCACGCTTCAAAAAAAGTAATAAGCCAAATTCAAAAGTTCCTCGAAAAAGGATGCACTACTTACCACTTATTCCGAGGTTACAACGGTTATTCGCATCACCGAGTTCTGCTAAACATATGAGGTGGCATTTTGAAAATCAACGTGAGCCCGGTGTTATGTGTCACCCATCAGATGGTGAGGCATGGAAACACTTTGATCAAATGTACCCTCAATTTGCTTCAGAACCACGCAATGTTAGACTTGGAATTTGTTCAGATGGCTTCTCTCCATTTGGTATGTCTGCCAAATCATATTCATGTTGGCCCATTATTGTTACAGTGTACAACTTGCCACCCTCAATGTGTATGACGACTCCTTATATGTTTTTGACTTCTATTATTCCCGGTAAGCATAACCCAAAGGCTAAAATAGATGTGTACTTACAACCATTGATTGATGAGTTGAAGTGTTTGTGGGAAACAGGTGTTGTCACTTATGATGTATCCTTAAAGCACAACTTTGTATTGAAAGCAGCTTTAATGTGGACAATAAGTGATTTTCCCGCATATGGGATGCTATCAGGTTGGCAAACTGCTGGGAAACTGTCATGCCCATATTGTATGGAATCCTCAAAATCTTTTTGGCTAAAGAATGGAGGAAAGTGCACATGGTTTGATTGTCACCGTCAATTCCTGCCCATGGATCATCCATTTAGAAGAAACAAAGATGCTTTTGTAAAAGGAAGGATCGAAAAGGCATATCCACCACACATTTTGAGTGGTGAAGCAGTTTTGGAACGTGTTTCATACATTCCACAAATAACTGAACAACAAGGTTCGAAGATACCAGGTTATGGTTCTACACATAACTGGACCAAGCGAAGTATCTTTTGGGAACTACCATATTGGAAGGATAATATGATTCGACACAATCTCGATGTGATGCACATTGAAAAAAATGTTTTTGATAATGTGTTCCATACGGTTATGGATACCAAAGGAACAAAAAACAACAAAGATGGTGTGAAATCAAGGATGGATTTAAAGGAGCACTGCTCGCGGCCAGAACTCGAATTAAGGGTTGACAATAATGGAAAGTTATTGAAACCAAAAGCAAGTTTTACTTGTGACAATAACCAACAGAGGGCAGTGTATGAGTGGATACAAAACCTTTGTACACCAGATGGCTATGCAGGAAATTTGACTTCTTGTGTTGATTTAGAAGACTGCAAACTGCATGGAATGAAAAGCCATGACTGTCATGTTTTCATGGAGTGTCTCCTGCCGGTTGCTTTTAGTTTCTTACCACCCAGTCATTGGAAAGCTATTACTGAACTTAGTCAATTTTTTCGAGATCTATGTTCGGCGAACTTACATGTGGATAAAGTGATACAACTTCAACAAAACATCCCAATAATCATTTGTAAGTTGGAGAAAATTTTTCCTCCAGGATTTTTTAATTGCATGGAGCATTTACCTGTTCATCTTCCTTACGAAGCATTAATGGGTGGACCTATTCAATACCGGTGGATGTATCCTTTTGAAAGATTTCTTAACTACCTTAAAAGAAAGGTAAAAAACAAGGCCCGGGTAGAAGGCTCTATATGTGAGGCATATTTAATTGAAGAGGCGACAAATTTTGCTTCATATTATTTTGAGTCTCATGTAGAGAGTTGGAGAACAAAAGTTGGTCGCAATTTGGATGACGGTGGCATCGATGTCAGTGTTCAGCCGACGCTGTCAGTCTTTAATCGTCCAGGTCGTGGGTTGGGTGCGACTAGATCTCGATATCTGAATAGTAAAGAGTTTTTTGCAGCACATCAACATGTACTACTGAACTGTGCGGAAGTCAAACCATACTTAACGTAAGAATTTCTTTTCATCCTATACACTATGTAGTAATGATATTCATAATTTTGTGAAAGTGGTTATTTGTAGGTCGTATGAAGATGGGTTGAGGGCTCTTAATCCAGGCATCACGAGTGAACAAATTGATTTGGCTATTGAAGACAACTTCGCCAAATGGTTTCGAGATTATGTGAGTATTAATAACTTACTTTAATTATAATTTGGAAACATATCATTATAATGGCAATTAACTTTTCTTGTATCGTATAGGTATACAATCCTGATAACATGGTGCATAACCAATTTCTACATGATCTAGCGATGGGGCCACTTGTAGAGGTACAAACTTGGAATGGATATGTTGTTAATGGGTACAAATTCCAAACCAAAGGATATTGTGAAGGAAAATCTACTTTTAATTGTGGCGTTTCTGTCAAGGGCACAGATTGTGGAGACCGTGAGGATGATTTTTATGGCATTATAAAGGAGATCATTGAAATATCATATCCCAATTCACCATTTAAAAAAGTGGTTCTCTTTAACTGTGATTGGTTTGATACTTCTCCTAATCGTGGTACTAGAGTTGATGCAGAATATGGCATAGTTGAAGTCCAGTGTAATCGAAGATATCAGAAGTATGACCCATTCATTTTCGCACATAATGCATCTCAGGTGTACTATGCCCCGTATCCTAGAGGTGTAAAATCTAAAAAAAATTGGTGGGTTGTTTTTAAAACTAGACCAAAGTGCCAAACGTGAAAATCCTGTATTACACATTTTAAACTAATATCTACGTACTAGACAGTATAGACTAATGTCTGCCTGTATAATTTGACTTGTAAAGCATTAGTAATTGTGCCTATTATTATATTGATTTTTGAACCACAGATGGTGCGTATTAATCGTGAGATTCAGAATGGAAACATATCACGAATCATCACTTACCCACCTGCAGTAATCAATGCTCAAAATCGTTATCAACCACGAGATCCAAGCTCTTCTACTTCATGTCCATCTCAAAATGCACCAACCAGCTCAGATGATTCTACTACCCTGGTTACCCCATCTACTCCACCAGTACTATCTCCCCTTGTAAACCAAGAACCTAAGATCGAGATTGTTCCTGACGGCATTTCTGGGTAACTTAAGTATTAAACTATCTTCTATTGCACTCAATCAAACTTAATCTGGTACCTCAATTAAGAATTAATAGGTAGTCATAGTTATATCCATTTTTTGTAAATGCTTAAAATATTTCTTCTATATATGTTTATAACTTAGTGAATGTTTGCAGTTTTATTCCATGCAAGGCAAATCGTTTTGTCATGCCGTGTATTACGAAGAAGTTTGATGAACCGATTCGCTCTTATACACGTGCTTCACCAGGATTGAAGAAAGCTTGGTTGAGTTTATTCAATGTAATATCTACTGAATTATTTTTCTTCTTTATAGAAACTAGTAACTGCCATATTCAATTTGCTAACTTGCTAACTTTTCTTTCAATGAACTCAATGTACACTAAAACAGGAAGGTGATGCATGTATTTTCAATAACTTGTTATACATTGTTTTATTACTTTATGTTACAAAATTGTGGTCTTGTGTAATTAAATTGTAGGAGAAGTATTATTGGAGGCCGGAATATCATTCACGCATTACAAAGAATTTCAACAAGAAAGGATCGGAAGGTTTATCACGTGCACTATCTAGTGCTCGAAAGACAAAGCAATGTCCAGAATGGATTATTCTTCCAATATGGGTTCAGCTACTTGAGCAATGGAGGGATGCAAAATTCATTAGCAAATGCAATACTAATAAAAAAAATAGGAACTCTGATGTGGGCATGGCATTGCACACTGGAGGATCTATACCCATTACAGAGTACTGCCGAAGATATGTAAGCATGTATATTTTATAATTGCACTTTTTACTGCTTTAATATTTTAGTAACCCTTTAATTACACACATAGTGCTAATGTTCGCAGGAAGAAAAGCATAACCAGACAGCACCCCCGGAAATAGTATATCTGCAAACACATACAAAAGCAGACGGTACATTTGTTACACCAAAAGCTAAAAAAATTTATGTGAGTATAATTTAATAAATTAGTTTAATTTTTAATGTACTAACTCCCTTTCATCAAATTAAAATCGTAAAAAGGTGAATTAAATTTCACTTATTCTGCCCGGAAATTCTACTTTTAATAGGACTCATATGAAGAACTAAAGTCAAAGGAGCCGAATGCCAAGTCTCAAGATCTATTGTTGAAGGCTGCTGGTGGCCGAAAGAAAGGAGGAAAAGTTACTGGTTTTGCCTCAGCTAGTGTCTATTTCTTTCCTTCAGCCTCTACTTCTCAGAAAATTCAAGAACAATCATACGAGGACAAATTACTTCAACGACGTCTGGAAGAGGTTGAGAAGTCCAATAGTGTTCTTTTAGAAACTAATAAAGAACTTGTGCAGTTTAAAGAATCTGCATCTGCTACACTAGCAGAAATGCAAGGCATTATTCAGTCTATGAAAATGACACAACCATTGCAACAAGTTTCATATATGAATGTACTCCCAAGGCAAAATATGCAACAAGGTACTTTCATGGGTTCTCTTCCACACCATCAACAAAGTGCTTACATAAATATTTCTCCACAACAACCCCAAGCGGGATCTTTTATGAGCATGTTGATGCCCCAACCTTCACCAATCTTCAATAACAGCTACACTCGTTCAAACCGGGGTGAAAATGGATGTGAAGATGTGGAACATGATCTCATTCAGTGACTTTGTAATCCTTTTAAGGAATTGTATTTTTAAATTTTATCAAGTATCTTTTAATTGACTTGTGATGCAGAATAATATATGTCTTGAAGGACTTCTAATCTATTTCAATGGAATGTTTGATGTTTAATTATACGGTTTAATTAGTATTTATATGAATCTGGTTCGTATTTAAAAAATATATTTTGTTTACAGGTATATATACATGAATTTTCGAATTGAATTGAGAGGAACATAGTTCCTTTCTAGTTTACAGAGTGTATATATATACGTAATTAACAAAATAATTGGAGAGGAATTTGGTTCCTTGCTTGGTTTATTTTTATGCCCCACCTTTTTTTTAGAATGGAACCAGGTTCCTCTCTATATAAATGAGGAGGAAGAGTTAAAAGGAACTACCGTCCTTTCTAATATTAAATATTTTTCATCACTTCATATGCTAGAAAGGAATGCAGAGAGGAATTCTGGATTACCGAGGGAGGTTTTATAGAGGAGACACAAGTCCTATCTAAATTTGTAGCTAACCCATTTAGAAAGGAAAATACCATATTTACATAGGAAAATGTTTCCTTCTTAATTACACTCATTCTAGTAGTGTCCCATTGTGATCAGCCTTAGTGATATCTAATAGATAGATACGCAGTATACTTTATCGTGAACTGACAACTTTGTCTTAGATATTTTTATTTGGACTGAGATTTACTAGTCTGCGGTGATTTGTATAAATATTGTCTGATGTCTGAACTGATCTGATAAATGTGTGACATGTGTGTATTTTATAAATATAAAGTGTAGTTTGAACTAATTTGTTTAACTTTGATCTAAGACCGAAAACGGTTTAAGTAAAAACATTTCTTTAAGATTTATGAGAATTGTTATTGCTATTACTATGTGACAAATTAAACAAAAGTTTTATCATTCCCATAAGACAATTTCTGCATTACTCCGTATTACTAGCTTACACGATGAGCTCCTTATTTATTTGAGTTATTTCATTCATTTGTTACATGTCTAAACAAATTACGTAGTATTATATACGGAGTATCTTGACACGGATATATATAGAGAGAGATTTATCCAAATAGGACTAAAACAATGTAGAATTGCAAAAATAGGACTCCTATGTTTTATTTGATAAGAATGGGACTAAAAAGAAGTAATCTCACAAAACTACCCTTAATGAAATAAAAATAAAAGGCACCGCTGCACCTCTTCGGCTCTTCCGATGATTTCTTGCAGCACGGCCTCCAGACCACCGACATCAATAATACGCTCTGCACCTGTCATCGTCGCCAAGACCACCATCGCATCACCGCCACTCTCCAGCGAGGCGCTGTAGCCAAGACCGCCACCGCCGTCACTTCCCGACGAGGCACCGTCGCCAAGACCACCGCCGCCGCCGTCATCCACCACCGTTAAGTTCTCCATTGGAGGTGTTGACATCTTCCCATTGGGATGGGCAACCTCCTCTGGAGAGTATGTCATCAATTTCAGGTTAAATTGGCATCATCATAACATCAAAAACCAAAAACATGACGTTCTGAGATTACAACATGACATTTTTAGATTAAAAAATTTATGACAGTCTAAGATTAAAAAGATGACATTTTTAGATGCAAAAACATGTTATTTTTGAGATTTCAACATGACATTTTTAGATGCAAAAACATGTCATTTTTTGATGTTACAACATGACATTCTCAATATCATAAAAATGTCATCATTTGTCAAAAATGTCAAAATCATGACTCTTTCAAACATATAATATTGTCATCTCCAAAAAATTGCCATCATGTCTCCAAATAATTGCCATCATGTCTCCAAATAATTGCCAATCATGTGGCATTTTTATAAAATTGATAGATGAACATAATAAATAAACGAGAACGAAATAATTTAGAACAGTTGATATATAGAGCCTCCAATTTCATATCCAAAAGTTCCAAATCCAAAATTTCCAAACAATTTTTTTTTTTCATTTTGAATCTAAAAAATCAACAAAAACATCAACAGAAAATTAATCTAAAATGCAAGAGGAGCAGAGAACAGAAGAGGAGAAGGAGAAGAGGGAGAAGGAGAAGAAGGAGGAGAAGGAAAGGATGAAGGAAGAAGGAAGAAGAAGAAACACTTACTTGGAGATTATTCAACCTCGGCGGTGGAGTGTGGAAGTGAAGATCGATGAGCTGCGGACATGGGAGGTAGAGATGCGGAGGATATCTGGGGCGATAGATGCGGAAGAGGAGGCAGAGGAGATCGGGAGAGACTGGCTGATCGATCGGAAGACGGAAATTTAGTTAGGAATTTGATATATTAGGGGTAAAATGGTAATAGGGAGTCCTATTTGGGAAATTTAAAACATTAAGTCCTAAGTTGGAATATTCACTATGTTTTAGTCCTAATTAGATCAATTTCTTATATATAATTTGCTAGTGGATTTGTTTTTAACTTTTTAATGATGTCGATATTGATTTCATAATTTAAGTTGACCAAACTCGGAGAGGAAGATGTAGGTTATTAATTAATTTTGTAATTAATTCAATGGAACAACTTCTCACTGGCATTCGTGTACCCTGTTGAATCTTATTTTATTGATATAAGCACCCTTACGATAAAAAAAGAACTTCTCGCTGGCATTTCTTTCAAAAAAAAAAAAAACTTCTGGTCTGGCATGTGGCACTCATGCACTACCAATTAAGTATCAATTAACAATATGTAAGCTAGCTAACCTATGTCCATATCAATTAACTTTCACTTGCAAACAAACTAAGAATCACAGACTAATTAATAAACTTTGCATTTTCTACCAACTTCTACTACTCCCATAGTCACATACTCACATACTCACATCCTATATACCTCGATCATCACATGATTACATCCATTTTGCTACAGATTTTTCTATTTACCATTTTCTATATTTTTACCATTTTTCTATATATCTCGAAATTAATGTTTACATTATGTATAATTAACTAGTAAGTTGTTTACTGGTCTGATAAACAGTATTTATAGCAAGTCATTATATGTCATTTATTATTTAAATTCTGTTTTTCCACTCTCAAAGAAAATATTACATGATATTTTACTAATATTCTTGATCAAATCCAGACCCCTTTTAAGACTTTTGCATTCAGAACATCTCACTCAGAAATACTTTTTTATTGTTTTGGGAGACAATCTCCTACTTTGTCCAAACATATATATGGGCTAATAACGAGTCCTTAAATTTAAAAATTTAACAACTATTCTCATTATTAATCAAACATTGTTCTCGATCAATATCGTGTAATAATAAATAATTAAAAAAATATAAGGTTTGAGTTACTTTCTGACTGTATTGGCTGGAGTTATTGTAGAACATCATTTTAGTTGTTTTTCATATCATATTTTATTTATTTTATTAACAAAAATTATTTTAATTTTTTTTTTCATAAATCAGCAGAATCAGCCAATCCAATCACTTCATCCAGAACTTCATAAATTTCAGCAGAATCAACCGATTTAGTCAAGTGTAGTTAGGGGTGAAAACAGGCCAGGCTTTTTCCTAAACAGGTCGGGTCGGGCATGTTACCTGTTAAAGGCCTGTTTTTTTCGGCCGCGAAACTAAGAGGCCGGAGCCTGGCCTGTTCCCTGTAAAAGGCCTGTTTTTTTCGGCCTGAGCGTGGCCATTTTTAAATCCTGGCCTGAAGCCTGTTTAGTGGGCCTATTAAGCAAAAAAATCAAATATTCATAAAAATAAAATCCTTTTGACCTGATATAAAATTTATCCCCCAAATATTCACTAAAAAGTCTAATAGTACGTCAATTTTTTTAATGTGTCAATTATGTAGCCTATAAATTTTTATGTAATTCAAATCTCGAAAAACATTGAATTTCAATTACCCTAATAACTTATTAACACACTTTATATATTTGAAATAGCTATAATTCTAATTTATAATACAAACTCCATAAAAAACTATTATGCCTACTTTGCTATAGTTAAGTATACTAATAAATAATTAAAAATAATACAAATAAATTTAAATATAACAAAATAAATATATATACGGAGTCTATACAAACATATATATACACATATAAATAGGCCGGTCTGTTAAGCTAAAAAGGCTTTGGAGTTGAGCTAAGTCTGGCCTATTTAAATAAACGAGCTTTTCAAAAAGCCCAAGCATAGTTTGATTATTAAACAGGCGAGGCTAGTCAGGCCTTATTAGCCCAGACCACAGGCCCCTGACAGGCCGCTTGGCCTATTTCCACCCCTTATTGTAGTGTTACCAAACGAGCTCTGCAAAGTTAAAATTATCTTCTAAAAAAACTTCTGTAAATTCAGTCAGAAAATTAAAGTATCTCCAATGTTTCCAGTTATTTTGATTATCACATAATTCAACGCGCGAAACTAAAAGTTACGTGTTTGATGGAAAAGTTGACTGATAAAGATTAGTAAGTCGAAAAATAAGGTCACCAAAGGGCTCTAAATCTAAATTTGTGATTACTAGTTCATAATTTGACGGGTAAAAGTTAATGACACAATAGCCGTTCCGGAAAAATAAGCTTACGGTTGATACAGTATTTGGTAGTGAAGACGTACACATGCAAACAACAAGGTTTTTCAATGAATTTAGTAAATCAAATGATTAATAACTGAGATCTTCCATTCTTCCTCTCCAAGTTTTATTAATTTATGAAATGAAGGTTGACATGATTAAAATTTTGAAACAAGTCCGCTAACTAGTACTATAAGATCTTTAACATGTAATAATGCTAAAGTAACAACAACTTGTTTAAACAAGAAATAATTTATCCTAGAACGGAGTAAAAAATGGGGATCAAGCAATATAAAATCAACTATGGAAGAATTGGTAAAGAAAGGAATTTGATATATATATGATGATCAAGAAGAAGGATCTTCACAATATGCTTTTGAATTACAATGTAGAGACTGAGTGTATGTGTATTCGTAACTGAATGTGCTGATTACATAGAGCCTCCAGATATTTATAAGAGATACATTTAATGCACTTTTGTCCGTTGACGACATGTTCCGACCGTTACGACGACATGTCCGACCGTTACGACGACATCAATATCGTCATTATTGCATCATCAATTCTGGTCAGCCCTTTGAGTAACATATGTCA